CCAAGCAACTATGAAGCCCTAGAATCTAGAGACGTTTTTCCTTCTCCCAGCTCGTACGTTCATGCTTTGACATGTGATGTGAAGTTCCGAGCCACTGTTTTTTCCGTGCGGTATGTCATGAGGGGTCCCTGTGAGTAGTATAATGCGCTCGTTGTTTGCAGCTGCTGGATTCGTATTTGCCTATGTTCTTCCCGCAAGGTCCCGTGTCTGTTGTCTCGTGAAATTTCCACGCAATCGAAGGTTCGAGGTTTCTGCTTACCCCCCACAAGCGGTGCCAGTGCAAGTGCCACAAGCGAGTTGATTGGTTGAGGTGTGCGAGATCATCACGGGGTGACTGGAAGGACAGCAAGGTTCTTTTCAAAGTTGAGCTTCCTGAAAATAGAGGCGGTCTTTTGGCTCGGTGATGACACTATGACCTGACGATAGGAAGTGCCGTCTGATGCGACGTCTGACCGTCAGAACTCGCCTCCACGCCATCAATGGCCAGCCACTGCAGAGCACAGGCATCCGAACCCTGTCCCAATCCTGACCGTTCATTCAGCAGCAATCAAGCCATGGATTTGGCTCGCTTGCTGGGTGTAATGTGAGGGAGGACGGCTTTCTGGGCGAGGCTCTGCCTAGTGCCGCTGGGGTGGGCTTCTTGCAAGTGGAGTGCAATCTGATTGGTGGGTCCGAGCAGTTGACTACACACAGGCTGCTGAGAGCCATTGAACCAGTCTTCCTCACGAGAAATTCTGATTTCGGTTCTGAATATGAAAGCTGTTTTTTTTGTGCTGTCGTTTTCTACGTCTTTTCTTCTGCATTTGTATCTAAGCTACAGTACGCAGAGCTCCTTACCTGGGGCCTAGTTCTTGGCTTGTGTCACACGTGTAACGTCCTGGTTACACCAGAAAGGCCTATTCAGCAGACCTTATGTGTACAGTAGCAGGCTTCCAGTGCCTGCCAACTGAAGGTGGTCTTGCCAGAATGGACTCGTGGGGAATGGGCAGTTGGGGGGTTGATTCCATGACCCAGATCAACAATCATTCTGCGCACATTTCATTGTCGAACTCCTCTCCTCTCACTCTTTCTCTCACTTTTCATGTTTTCGTGCTGCCGAGAGCGGTGATGATAACCCAACCAGTAACGCCAGTTCTGCTTCTGACATCTGTGATGTGTACCTGGTTGTATAACCTTCTGAGTTCTCGAGACCCCATCCACGTTTCACTGTTTCCATTTTATCATTTTGTGTTTCCGTCCTAGGTGGTGCATTTCAGATTTGGTAGCATTTTTTGACTTCTGAATCAACTATACGCAAAACCGAGTGTGTTCAGAGACAGGCTACCTATCCTGTGAACTGAATGAGTGTTTTGCAAGAACAGAATATGCGGGGAATGGGCAGTTGACGGGATCAACTTATGAACCCAATCAACAATCATTCTGCGCACAACCTAGCTTCGAGCTACTACGATAATGACCCCTCATCAGGCCACCCTTGGCCTCTCATTCACTAGCTCACCCGTGCTCTCTCCCTGTCTCCTTCCCTTTCTCCCTCATCCCTCTCTCTCTCTCTCTCCCTCTCCCTTTCCCTCCCCCTCTCTCCCTCTCCCTCTCTCTCCCTCTCTCCCTCCCCCCTCCCGCTCTCTCCCACTCACTCCCTTTCTTTTCCCGTTTCTCCACTGTCCTCTCGTCTTTTGTTCCGTTGCGGTCCCAGTCTTGGTTTGCAATGATGATTACCACTGTTAAATCTGTCAATCCGCTGAAAATGCACGTGTTGACAAATTCAGTCTTACAAGTTTCTGAGCAAACCACCATAATCTTTATATCCATTGCTCTGCAAACCTTGACCTTCAGCGGTATTTCTGATTTTTTTCATTCATTGAGCTAGAGATCTAGGACCCGGTGGTAGCTTTTTGCTGTTCATTGGTATAAAGCACAACCGAGTTTTTGGAGTTGTTGGTTTCAACCTATGGTATGTGTTCGTCTTCATACAGTCCCAAACAGAGCTTTTCAGCAGTAGTTTGGGATGAATCACCATGCTTCACAACTCAAGCATTTACATCCAGCAGTGGAACAAACGTTTGACTAAAATGATGCCAAAAGCAATATTAGTCCAGCCTGAGGTATGTGCTGTTCATGCACATTCACAACACGCAATCCCCAGCGCTTATAAGAGAAGCACAATACGTGTCGTGTACAATCACGTGCACATTCATGTAAAAGAAGCAAAATAAAGTCACGCAGTCATATACTCTATAAGGACAGTGAACAATGTTGTAGATCGGAGAAGCGAGCGCGAATCGCGAATCTGCAACGAGGATGCCTCGATAATCGATAACCAGTTATAGGCGTATTCGTCACAGTATAAGCCCATGCGCCATCTAACAGGGTGCGTTATTCAGGGTGCGTTGTTGCTTCTGTTTGTGTGTTCCTCTTAGCAGGAAAATATACGTCTGGTGTAGCTTCGACAGAGTGTTGTCCACGTTGCCCTCTTACGAGACCTGCGCTGACCGAAACTGAAGGCTCACCGTGAGTCCCGCAACGTGCGATCAAAAGGCGCAGCCAGCGTCTGACATGGCACCCTACACCACGAAAGAGTCAACAAACCACCTTCCCAAAGCGCTATTTTTCCAACTTCAATGTGCGATTCGATCCCACATTGCCTGCACCAATTTCTTTCCTCATCGTGAGACCCAACGACCAGCCAATTCTGTTGGCCCCCCGCACATCCAGTAATTTCTTCCCCTCCCGCACGTTCCCAGCCCTTGGTTGCGTTGGTGTCGTGAGCTGTGGTCTTTCTCAGCATGCAACACACGCAACCTTCACTTAGGTTGGGCTGCTTCTCTCTGCACTCCACCCACACCACCTCGCACTCTCGCAACATATTGCAAGCAAGAAGTCACAACCACCAATCCCTCCCTCATATAGCCCCTTGGCTCATCACGACCACGTCATTCGTCGCGGTTCCAGCCTGCACCCTTGGCGTGCTAGTAGGCCGCCATCTCGCATCGCCTTTGCACGTCTTCCGGAACGCGTTCTCACGTGCACGTGATTCAGTCGCTTTTCTCAACCACGCCCAGCCCTTGGCGACTGACCGGATTTTCGAGTCTCGCTCGACCAGTCTGATCCTCGTTGTCTCAGTCAGACGAATAGGCATTGCAGTTAGACTCTCAGAGTAGCGCTGAACTGCTCCCGTCTGCTATCTCTGTTCCGTCCAAGCGCATTGCAGTTGCCCTTCGTCAGAGATCGTCAAACCCGATACAGCAGAGCCAGTAGAGTGTAATTGTTACAATCAATCCTGCCGCCCTTTTTCGTAAGTATTGCCTCGAGGGCGCTTGCGTTCGATCTTCTGGCCTCCCTGGCGAGCGACGCAGCAAGGCTCGCCTTATCGAGTCTCTCTCGACCAGACCGAACGTATCGATTTGATTAGCAAGCGTCGTCGAGTCGCATCGGTGCATAGGGTTCTCAAACAGAGATAAGGCATTACGGTACTGTCGGGTTGAGGTCGGCATCGTCCCCTCGTTTGAGGCACATTCGGAGGCCTTTTTTTTCTTCGAGGCGCCGTGGCATGGAGTAGAATAGTAGGAGACACAGTTCAATTGAAAGTTTAGCTGAGCTAGCGATCATGGGGAAAGCAGAGGGGAGGGGCCTGTTTATGTCCTCCGACGTTGTTTTACTCGTTACGGTGCTTATCATCCTCCACGCCGCAACTCCCGCGCAAAGTCAAGGTAAAGATATAACTCTTCCCCGTGAAACAAGGGAATTGTCAGGACTTCACCAACGTATACAACAGCGGAGGAGAAAGTGGTTCTTGATGCATAAGCTTTTCAACTTGAAGTAGCTAAGTTGGAGTTTGATGGTGTGATTATATCGGTGTACATTGCAACCGAGGCAACGGTGAACAAAACACTAAGGCAGGTTCCCGTGGGAGCGATTTACTCTAACTGAGGCATTTGAGTATGTGCTACCCTCCTTACAAGAATGGTGCCGGTACTCTAGTTCCGAACGCAATATTTCCCCTTCTCCTCTCATCGCGTTCCTTTCAGACGCTGCAAGAAGTTATGAAGGAGCCGCCGGAGACATGGATACGTGGCAATTGTCGAATGGACGGACATCAATATCAGAGACAAAGGTGAGATGATGCAGTTGTAGGAACCAAAAGCGTCGATCTGAGGTACGTTATGATCAAACTGAAGAACCGAATTCGATCGACGTTTTGTGAAGCCATTCTGATGAAATTAACCACTGCATTTCATTCGTACACCTCCTCAAACATTTTGCATAAAGTTCATATAAATACGTACACCTTACATCTTGTCATCAATTTATTTTTTTGCTTGCTCCCAATCGTGCCCACCCCCAGAAACTCAAGGAGCACCTTGAAGTTGTCGCACGGCAACTAGCCTCGTCATCCGACTCTGGCGACGGTTTGTCGTCAGACTCTGGCAGTGGCGACGGAGGTGGCGACGGCGGCGGTGGCGACTCGTCGTCTTCGTCGTCAGACTCTGGAAGCTCCGACTCATCGTCAGATAAAAAATCGTCGTCCTCGTCAGAATCTTCTTCGAGCGATGGGGATGGTGGAGGCGATAGAAACGGAAGTTCCAGCGGTTCGTCCGATAAATCGTCAGGCTCGTCGTCCTCGTCTGATTCGTCGTCCAGCTCCAGCGGAAAGAAGAAAAAGAAGAGCTCTTCCTCCTCTTCGGATTCTTCCTCAGATTCTTCGTCATCGTCATCGTCTTCTAAAAAGAAGAAATCCAAAAAAAGTTCCAAGAGCAGCGGATCGTCGTCTGATAGCAACGGCGATTCTTCTTCAGGAGATTCTTCAGGAGATTCATCAGGGTCTTCGGATTCGTCCTCTGACAGCGGCGGCGGTTCCTCGTCGTCGTCCGATTCAGGATCCGACGGTGGTGATTCGTCGGGGTCTGGAGACGGCGAAGGTTCCTCCTCCTCGTCCTCGTCGTCTAAGAAGAAAAAAGGAAAGAGCAAGAAGAAAAAGTCGTCGTCTTCTTCCAGCGACGGGAATGACGGCGATTCGTCGTCTTCTTCCTCCTCTTCATCTGGATCCAAGAAAAAGAAGAAGAGTAAAAAGAGCTCTTCGTCGGACGGTGGCGATAGCGGCTCAAGCTCGTCCGATAGCGGATCCTCTTCTAACGGGGACCGGTCTTCCTCTGGCAGCGGCGACGGAGGTGGTGACGGAGGTTCGTCAGGCGACGGAGGAAGTGACGGAAAAAGTGTCCAAGAAAGTGACGGAGATGGGGGAGGGGGCGGCGGAGGAGACGGAGGAGGGAGCGACGGAGGAGACGGAGGCTCGTCTTCCTCTGGAAAGAAGAAGAAAAAGGGCTCTAATAAAAAGAGTTCGAAGAAAAAGAGTTCTAAGAAAAAGAGTTCTAAGAAAAAGGGATCAAAGAAAAGCTCTAAGGATGGTTCGAGCTCCGGAGGAGACGGGGAAGGTAGCGGGAGCGGCTCGTCGAAGAAAAAGACAAAGGGTTCAAAGAAGCGCTATGCGCGGGGAGACGGCGACGGGTCATCGGGCGACGGAAACGGAGACGGCGAGAGCGGAAGCGACGGAAACGGCGACGGAAACGGCAGCGGGGACGGAGGCGGAGACGGTGGCGACGGAAACGGCGACGGAAACGGCAGCGGGGACGGAGGCGGAGACGGAGGAGGAGACGGAGGAGGAGGAAAAAGTTCCAAAAAGAAAGGAAAGAAGAAAAAGTCCTCCTCTGGTTCTCATTCGAAAGGCTCGTCGCATTCGAAAGGTTCGTCGCATTCGAAAAAGTCTTCTTCTGATGGCGATAATGGCGACGGGGGAGGCGACGGAGGTGGCGACGGGGGCGGCGACGGAGGCGACGGGGGCGACGGTGGTGGCGGCGACGGGGGTGGTGACGGAGGCGGCGACGGAGGCGGCGACGGTGGTGACAGCGGTGATGGTGGTGGTGATGGCGGCGACGGCGGCGACGGAGGTGACGGAGGTGGCGACGGAGGTGACGGAGGTGGCGACGGAGGCGACGGAGGTGGCGACGAAGGCGACGGAGGTGGCGACGGTGGTGATGGTGGCGGCGACGGCGGCGACGGAGGTGGTGACGGGGGCGGCGATGGGGATGGTGGTGATGGCGGCGACGGCGAGGGATCAGGGTCTACCGAAGGTTCAGGTGACGACGGCGATTACTCCGATATGAATGCTCGGGAGAAGCGGAGTGTTGACGACAGTAACGGGGATGACAGTAACGGGGATGACAGCTACGACGATTATAGCGGGGATGGAGGTGACTATAACAGCGATTCCTCTGGAGACGGAGGGGACGAGTACAGTGATGGAGATTCTAGCGACGACGACTATAGCGAGGGCGACGGTAGCGAGGGTGACTATAACGAAGGCGACTACCCAGATGACGGAAGCACGGAGGGAGATGGGGACCGGAGGCAAAGGGGTTCATCCAACGGCTCAGGATCAAGCAGGCGGAAGAAAGGACGGAGGGGATCGAGCCGTAAAGGGAAGCACGGAAAGAAGGGGAAGCACGGGAAGAAAAAGGGCGACTCGTCGCCGCCAATCGCGAGCGATCCGGCCGCCAACTTACCTCCCGTTACAATCGTTCCCCCGTTCACGGTCAAAACCCCCCCGGTAATATCATTCCCGCCGAAGATCACCAATCCGAAACCGGTTGACCCGTCACCAGCACCCCCAGTGGGCCCCCTCATACCCGATAATGTCAACCCGTTACCATTCGATCTCATCCCCGTTCCGCAACGAACAACCACCGACTCGTTTACGCTAAACCCTTTTAAAGGCAGAGTCGCGAGTTTCCCATTAGAGCCCAGTCGAAAGGACCCAAAAGCGAGCTTGATAAAAAAGCCAAAACCGCCAGTGGCAAAGCCGAAAGTGCCGACTCTCCCGCCCAAACCGAAGGTGCCGACGCTGCCGCCCGCACCGACACCGAAGGTGCAGATTCCGCCAACGACGCCGCCGAATGCGGGAGCAGTGGACCCGTCCGATCCGAACAACCCGTTTGCGAGTCCGTTTGACCCGCCGCCCGGCGCGAATGGCCCGTTGACTCCGACTGACCCGATTGACCCGCTGAATCCGCCGTCGCCGTCGCCGCCGGTGGTTGCTCCCAAGCCTTCCCCGCCTCCTGATGATGGTGAGACTCCAGCTTTTTGCCATTTTTTTGTTTTTTTTTTTTTTCTTTGAATGTGTAGAAATCTGTTGACCAAAGAGTAGGTGTGCGCCAATGCCGCCGGTGGTTGCTCCCAAGCCTTCTCCGCCTCCTGATGATGGTGAGGCTCCAGCTTTACCTTTTACCCAGTTTGGTCTATGCTTTGGTGAGGCCCTGTTGTTGCAAGTCCTGATTCCCGTCTCCCTGTACCTTCCGCCTCTCTTCACACCCACCCTCCCCTCCCCTCCCCCCCCCCCCCCCCCCCCCCCCCCCCTCCTCCTCCTCCTCCACCGCCCTCCCCTCCCACCCCTAGGAAGGTTCCTCACCCCGCAGATCCTCCCGAGTCCTACGCAGTCTTTACGCTGATAACCAGAACCAGCTCCAGCAGCAAACCATTTTTGAGGCGCCTCAAAAAAATCGTCGCAGTCTTTACGCTGATAACCAGAACCAGCTCCAGCACCAGCAGCAAACCATCTCACCATGTCCCTCGTTCTCTCCCCTCTTCCCTCCCCCATCCCCCCCTGCCCCCTCCACTTTTCCAGGTGCCGGTATCCCCAACACCACCGTCCCACATATGCTCCCCGATTCCCACAACGCCTCAGCCTCAAGCCAAATATCCCTTCCCAAGTCTCACCATTTCTCCCTTGTTTCCTCCCTTCTGTCTCTCTCCCCTGATTTCCAGGTGCTGGTATCCCGAAGACCACCGTCCCACATATGCTCCCCGATTCCTCATTCATTCCCCTCGTCTCACCATTTCCCCCGTGCGCTCGTCTCTTTTTCCCCCTCCCTCTCCCCCCTGCTTTCTTCCTGTTTCCAGGTGCCGGTATCCCCAACACCACCGTCCAGCGAATGCTCCCTGATCCATACAACACTTCAGCCATCATCAAGCCGAAAACCACCACCACCACAAACACAAGCACTGTCATTTACTAATATTTTTCCCATTCCACTACTCTCCCATGCCCCTTTGTTCCAGGTGCCGGTATCCCCAACACCACCGTCCCTCAAATGCTCCCCGATTCCTACAACACTTAGCCATCATCAAGCCAAAAACCACCACCACCACAACTGCCCCTTCCTCACCCCCCAACAACTCGGGCGTCAACACTCTGATGGTCGTGCTCATGGTGACGATTCCCCACCCCCGTTTCCCCTTACCCCCCTCCCTCGTCGTCTACTTTGCAGGTACCCACCCTTCCTCACCCCCCAACGACTCGGGCGTCAACACTCTGATGGTCGTACTCATGCTCACAATTCTCTGACCCCGTTTCCCCCGTCTCACCATTTCCCTCGTTCCCTCCTCTCTTCCCACCTCCCTCTCCCCCCTGCTTTCTTCCTGTTTCCAGGTGCCGGCATTCCCAACACCACCGTCCCGCAAATGCTCCCCGATTCCTACAACGCCTCAGCCATCATCAAGCCGAAAACCACCACCACCACAACCGCCCCTCCCTCTCCCCCGAACGACTCGGGAGTCAACACTCTGATGGTCGTGCTCATGGTGACGATTCCCCTGGGAGCAGCAGCGGTGATTACAATGGGTATGCTGGGGTGGAGTCAGTACAAGAAGTGGAGCATGAACGCCCAAGGCCCTGCCACTGCCGGGGGACCAGGGGGTGGGGGTGGGTCTGCTGGGTTTGGTGGTGGGTACGAGACACTAGGAGGAGGGCCGTTTGGACGGTGACGATTCCCCTGGGAGCAGCAGCAGTGATAACAATGGGTATGCTGGGGTGGAGTCAGTACAAGAAATGGAGCATGAACGCCCAAGGCCCTGCCACTGCCGGGGGACCAGGGGGTGGGGGCGGTGGGCTTGGTGGCGGGGGGTATGAGACTCTGCGAGGGGGGCCGTTCAACCACTGATGACTGGGGGGGGATGGGGTCATGCAACGATGGGTGTGGGTGGGAGTGGGTGTGGGTGGATGGGCGATGAGAGTCTGCAAATGGGGATTCCTGGGACTCTTGACCCAATTATAGCACAGGTAATGGGGGTTTAGTATGAGTGCGTGAAACACGGCACTGTAGTTGCTCCGAATACAAAACACTGCAGTGCAGGTGTAGTAGGTGTAGGGTAGAATTTAAGGACAAACAGGTTGTCTTGTATGACATCTGAAAAGTCTGTAGACAAGCTGATGTGCGATACATACATCATACCGGTATCAACAACTTACTCTTGAGAATACCATGCTCCTGCAGATTCTACTGATCCTCATCAGTGCAGCTTAAAAATCACCATAGATGCTAGCATATTCTAGCTGCAACAATTACATTGTTGGGCTGAGAAGGGAGCCCTTAGGATCTTTGCGGGACTAAACTCCTGGTAGGACTCATGTAATAGCGGAAGCGCTTAATGAAAGGTTGTGAACCACCTTGCGCTGGTGTGTGAGGGCAAAGTAGATTGATTAATAACAAGAGATACAAGCTTTTATAAGAGTACAAGGGAATATGAAGGGTTAACCGTTTTGCTATTGCTGTTGCGGTTCGATACAGTGACGACTCGGGCAACTGCTCAATAGCGAGTCAGTTGTTTGTCCTTGCTGTCGCGCTGTACTTGTCAAGTCAAAGGTCGCTGACCTTCGACTTTCGCGTAACCTCCAGCGGTTGTTCAACCTCCGAGGGTTGACTCGCTGATGCTTCGATATGTTTCGCTTCGCTTCTGACTTGGTGTTTCGACACGACAGAGGCGCTTAAGTTACTTGTTTCCAACACTCCCCTTCGCTTCTGGAGTGTCGCTGCTGGTGACGTGGCTCTGTCCAGTCAGCAGCATGCAGTACTCAAACTTCTGCTTTTCGAGTTTCTTGGTCAAGTAATCAGCTGCCATCTCGGACGTGGGGCAGTAGGATAATTCGAGTCTCCCCTTCTCGATCTCGTCCTTTACGAAGAAATATCGCAGGGCGATATGCTTCGTCCTGTTCGCGAATCCGTCTTTGTTGGCTATGCGAATTGCCGACTGGTTGTCGCAGAACAGAGGGAAGCTGGGTAACTGAGCCAGCTTCGCTTCCTCCAAGAGTTCGCGAAGGTACAATCCTTCCTTGGTGGCTGAGCAGAGTGCGATATATTCTGCTTCAGCTGAGGAGAGAGCGATTAATTCCTGCTTACTCGACTGCCACGAGATAGGTCCGATAGGCTCGAGGCGGTAGATGTAGCCTGTGCGCGAGCGCCTGTTGTCAGAATCTCCGGCGTGGTCGGCGTCGACGTAGCCGATTAACTTAGGCGTTGTAGTTCCGTTCTTTAGTAGGTCAGGCCGATCGTTAGAGTGCTAACGAGGTAGTGAAGAGCGCGGTCGAGCTCCGCCATATGTTCAGCTTCAGGCCTTTTTAAGGTAGGTGGCGAGATGACTTGCAGAGTATGATAGGTCCGGGCGGCAGGTGACAGCCGCGAAGAGAAGGCATCCCAGCTTCCTCTGGTAGTCGCGTATCCCGGCAGGCTTGAGTGGAGTGGAGCCTTCCTTGTGATTTCCTGTCGTGTAGCGGTATGGTGTGGAGATGGTGGTCGGCGTGAGTGCGAAGCGTTTGGCGATAGTGTCGGCGTATTTTGCGGCGTTGAGGTAGATCGCGCTTTCTTCTTCCTGGATGTTGAGGCCGAGGTACTGCGTGACGGTAGATGCGACTGTAAGCGTGAGATCTTTCTGTAGCTCCCCTTCGAACCAGGTAGTGACGTTGTCGGTCGACCCGATGTAGAGTAGATCGTCTACGTAGACGATTAGTAGAATATAGTCGTCGCCTTTCGTGAGCCGGTACATGCCCTGGTCGTGCGGTAGCTGCCGGAATCCGATGCGAATAAGTCGAGCGTGTAGGTACTGCTGCCATAGTCTCGAGGCCTGTTTGATGCCGTACAATAACTCCAGCAGCTGACAGACGTGATTAGGTTCTCCGTTGGAGCCATGTGGTAGTTCGACGAAGATTTCTGCGTCGACAGGTGCGTAGAGGAATGCGTTGGCGACGTCAATTTGCCGTAGCTTTTTCTTCTTCATGGCGACGATTGCGAGGAGGATTCGTAGTGAGGTGTGTCGGCTGACCGGGGCAAATGTCTCGGTGAAGTCGCGTCCATGTTCTTGGTCGAATCCGCGTACGACCAAGCGCGCTTTAAACTTGTCGATGGTGCCGTCTGCCTTTGTCTTCACACGGAAGACCCATTTCCCGGTAAGTACTGTCTTGTTTTGTGCCACGCCGATAGGAACAACTTTCCAGGTGTTCCGTTCTTCCAGTGCTTTCAGCTCCTTGTCCATGACTTCGCGCCATTTTTCCCTACGCTCCCCCCCCAGAGCCTGCTGAACCGTGGCAGGCTCCTTAGGAACGTCCGTGCCGTGGACCGCGGTGACGAGGCCGAGTATCTGGAGGCCACTCTGTGTGTAGCGGGGGAGTGTTGTGTCCGCGGGATAAGCTGCTTCGTCACCTGCTTCTGGGTCAAGTATGAAGTTGGGCCCTATGCGTTCTGCTTCGTTGGTGTTGACTTCTGCAGGTGTAACGTAACCGTTGTCGGCGAAGTGGTAAAATACTTCGGCGTTGGCGCTTTCGCGAGGATTTTCGTCATCCATTGGGACGTCGACGGAGCAGTAAGGGAGAGGTCTGGCTTCCTCAGAGGCTGCATCCACGTTCTGCTCGTCCCAGTCAGCTTCGTCTTCTGCCGAGGCGAAGGCTCGGTCACCACGGAAACCACCTGTGGGGTCCAGATCTTCTTCCAGGTTGGCAAGGTACGTCGGAAGGGTGAGTCGTTCGTAGAAAATGACATCACGTGCTGCTACTGTTTCCTTGGAGTGGACGTCGAAAATCTTCCACGCGTTGTAATTTCTTTCGATGCCCAGGTGTAGTCCCCACTGTGCGCGTTGGGAAAATCGGCCGGCTCGTGCAGATGGGGGTCGGTACTGTACCATGCAGCCGAAAACTCTTAACATTTTTGTGCTGCCCTGTTTTCCTGTCCACAGCAGATGCGGTGATGCGTTGTTCGGGAGCGATGATGACGAGAGCAAGTTGTGCAGCATGACAGCGTGGTCCATTGCTTCGGGCCACTGGTGGTTGGGCAGTCGCATGCCTCGTAGCAGTTTGCGCATGATGTTCTGGAGAATCCTGTTCATCCTTTCTGCTACGCCTTGCTGCTGGTGAGCAGGGAAGAGAGATGAGCCTCTTGATCCCTCTTTCTGCCAAGTACTGCTTGAACCTCTGTGAGGTGTATTCTCCTCCCCCGTCTGACTGGAAGCTTTTTAGTTTCACGCCTGATTCTCGTTCTGCTACTGGGAGCCAAGCGACGAAGGCCTCGAAGGCCATGTCCTTGCTCGGTAGGTTGAGGTGCCAAACGTAACGCGTAGCGGCATCGATGAACGTGATGGTGTAGCTGTATGCTCCTTGTCCAGGTTCGCGGTTGTACAGGATGTCGCTGTACACTTTCTCGAGTGGTGCGTAAGCTGGTGCGCTGGGATTGTGGTGAGAAGCGAACGGCCGATGTGGTAAGTCAGATTCGGGGCAGGTAAAGCACGTTCCGCGAGCTCGTCGAAGTTCGCTTCCGTCGGTTAGGAGCAGTGAATCTTTATCGAGCACGCCTGCTCTGATTGTGTTGTTTAAAACCGTGTTGCTTGGATGTCCCATTCGTGCGTGCCAGATGTCTTCGCCAGCTCGATGTCCGGGTGAGCGACGGTATAGGTCGGAGTTGGAGTAGAAGCTTGCGGTGAGGTTTGAGCTTCGATGTACTTCTCGTGGTGTTGGGTTCAATTGCTGCGCAGGAGTCGGTGGAGTGTCGTCGTCGATTATAGCCGGTGCAGTTGAAGGACCCGCGATTGGTGCCGATGTTGTTTCTGCTGCTGCCGATGTTGTCTCTGCTGCCGATGTTGTATCTGCTGCTGCCGATGTTGTCTCTGCTGCTGCCGATGTTGTCTCTGCTACTGCCGATGTTGTCTCTGCTGCTGCCGATTAAATTGTTGCTAATGCTTTTGTTCGTTCTGCTTCAGGGATGGTGTGCGAGTACCAGAATCCTTCTGGACTGATCTGGTGGGTGTGTCCAGAAGGTGAAGGTGACGATTCCGTCGCTGTCAGCTATGCCGAGATCTGGGACGAAGTCGAAGACGAAGACGTTATTCTTCAGGACTGCCTTGCCGATGTAGAGACCTCCTCTCCCGTGGTACAACTTGAACTCCTGTGTTGTGCTATCTGCTTCAAGGTGGATGCCTTTCGCCATCAGTTGACTGACACTCAGTAAGTTGTAGCCGAGTCCCTCCGCAATTAACACTTTAGACATTTGCAGTATTACGTTTGTCTTTCGTGACCGAAGTTGCACCACACCTTGTCGTGTGCGCAGGTTCTGGTTGTTGGCGACGGTGATGACGACTTCGCGTTGAAGTTGGTGTTCACGTTGAACAAATCGTCCTGAAGAGCACATGTGCTGTCCGCAGCAGCTGTCCAAGAACCAGGTATCTTTTCCGAATGGCTCGCTTTGGGCGATGGCTGCATACGTCGGGTTTGGTTGAAGTGACTCGCGGCGAGGCGTGCTGTTGTCGAGTTGCTCTTCCGGTGAGTAATGCGGTGGTGACTCTGTGATGCAGGAGTCGGTCAGTCGTGCCATGCAGCTGACGATCTTTCTTGTTCCTTGCGCAGATTGTCCCGTCGATGTTGTTGAAGCTTGTACTTGAGTGGTCGGATTCGCTTGCGTTGAGGCGACTTGACTGCTTGAAGGGCGAAGCGGCCGCTGCGTTGGCGTTGACTGCTGCCGGTTTGGGCAGTGTGTACGGGGGTGACCTGACGTCTTACAAAGGTGACAGAACAGAGGTACTGGTTTCGGTTGATGCCGGTTGTTGTTGTTGTTGTAGCGCCGTTGAGTGTGGAATGCGAATTCGGGCACTGATGCCTTCCTCTTGTGTCGTTCTTCTTGCAGGTCCATATCTTGCTGCTCAGCGTGGATCTCGGCGCAGAGTGCTGCTTCTGATATTTTTCCGTGAGCTCGGAGTATGGCGCGAGTGGAGCCCCACTGAGGACCGAGGCCGCCGATGATGACTGTGACGAAGGCGTCTTTTGAAATCGACCCTCCGCATCGAAGGAGTTTGTCGCGCAATTCGCGACAGCGGCTGATATACGCCATCCCCTTTTCGTCCGGTTTCATTTCGACTGTTGTCAGTTGCGCCATTAACCGACTTTGATTGACGCTGTCTGTTGCTTGATATAGGTCCTTCAGGTGGTTGTACGCGAGCTCTGCAGAGTTGCCGTATCCTCGGTAAGACCGTATATTCTGCTGCTGATTCGGAGTGATGTTTCTCAGTAGTATTGTGTACGCCATCATTGACTGATATGTGTACTGCTGCTTGTCGTACTGTGTGCCGTGTGTTAGGTATGGCAGGGACCCGTCGAAGAAGCCAAGAATCTGCGCGCCTTCCATCATTAGTTCGAATTCAAACGACCAGGTAAAGAAGTCCTTCCCGTCGAAAGGCATTGACGTTTGCATTTTTGAGACGTGCGCGAACTGCGACTGAACTTGAAGTGCGTCCAGTGTCTTCTCTTGTCCAGGTGCAGGCTGCGGGTGTGGCATAAAGCTGACGGAGCCACGCTAGGGCTCGCACGGAGCAAAGGTAGGCTGCTGCTGTTGATTTCCGCGTGCGTAGGATGAGCCGTCGAGGCTCATGGGCGTCACGTCGTTGTTGTTGTTGCTGTTGTTTGTCTGCGCAGGTGCAGACTGCTGGTGTTGCTCGTAGAAGGACATGAAGGAGAAGAACTTCTCCATCATGTTCTGGTCGAAGTCTGCAGGTTTATTCGCAGGAGTTTCAGTGGACCCTGCTGCTGGTCTTGTCGCCGTGCCCTGCTCTGTCTGTAGGCCAGAGGCAGGAGGTGGAGTAGGGGTAGTGCCGAGAGAACCATTAGAGGAACTCCTTTCCTTCTGAGTAGCCATGCTTTCTGGTGTTGTAGGTGTCTTGATAGTGGAATTTGTCCTGACAGCTCTCATACCATGTTGGGCTGAGAATGGAGCCCTTAGGATCTTTGCAGGACTAAACTCATGGTAGGACTGATGTAATAGCGCAAGCGTTTAATGTTGTGAACCACGTTGCGCTGGTGTGTGAGGGCAAAGTAGATTGATTAATAACAAGAGATACGGTACAAGCTTTTATAAGAGTACATGGGAATATGAAGGGTTATAACTAATAACCGTTTTACTATTGCTGTTGCGGTTCGATACAGTGACGACTCGGGCAACTGCTCAATAACGAGTCAGTTGTTTGTCCTTGCTGTCGTGCTGTACTTGTCAGGTCAAAGGTCGCTGACCTTTGACTTTCGCATAACCTCCAGCAGTTGTTCAACCTCCGAGGGTTGACTCGCTGATGCTTCGATATGTTTCGCTTCGCTTCTGACTTGGTGTTTCGACACGACAAAGGCGCTCAAGTTACTTGTTTCCAACATACCTAACCCAGTTCTCAATCATAAGCTAAAGGTTACGGTAGTAAACACACTTTGGTAATAATTTCAACCATCACTCATTGTCGTCTGAAGACTCATCTCATCCGAAATCGCTCTCGAAGTTAGACTCGTCCAAACGCGTTTAGTGTAGTTACAGAGCAGTATAAAAGTGTATAAAATGACACAAAACTGTCACTCATCATCGTAGTCTGAAGACTCATCGCTGAAATTACTCTCAAAGTCAGACTCGTCCAAGCACATTCAGTGTAGTTACAAAGCAGTATGAAAGTGTATAACACGACACAAGAACCGTCTGTCTGTCACTCATCATCATCGTCTGAAGACGCATCACTGAAATCGCTTTCAAAATCAGACTCGTCCAAATCAAGCTGTTGGGGGGGGGGAATGGGGGGTGATGGGGGGAAATGGGGGTGGTGGAGGTGGGGGGAAAAGGGATGAACCGCTTCCAAAGCCAGACTCGCCCAAATCAAGCTGTTGGGGAGGCAATGGGAGAGACGGGGGGGTGTGTGTCGGGGGGGAAGTGTGCCTGAATCTCACTTGTACCTGCACGTGTGCCACTTGGAAAGTCCCGGAGCAGCAGGAGCAGCAGGGGGAGCAGGGGGAAGAGGTAAAGCCACAACAGCGCTGCACAGACACACGACACTAACACAGAGGGCCCAACCCAAGGCTGAATCTCACTCGTACCTGCACTTGAAATGTCCCGGAGCAGCAGGAGCAGCAGCAGGAGGAAGGACAGCTGCTGCTACAGCAGCAGCAGGAGCAACAGCAACAGCAACAGCACCGAACACAGGACACTAACACAGGGGACCCAAGCCAGGCCTGATTCTGAAAATTTCACTCGCACCTGCACGTGTGCCACTTGAAACGTCCCAGGAGCAGCAGGAGCAGCCGGAGCAGGGGGTAAGGCCACAGCAGCAGCAGCAGCACCACCACCACGCACACCTGCCCCTGCTGCTCTTTCCTTTCCTGCTGCCCCTTCTTTCCCTGCCCCTGCCACTGCTGGCGGCCGGATAACACCTTCCCCAGGTCCCACCACCATGCCAGCCACAGCAACAGCAGCGGCAGCAGGCACGCTCGGGGGAGGTACATCTGAGGGAGGTACACCTGCTGCCACTGGCAGGGGCACAGCAGGGGCGCCTGGTAAGGGGAGGGGTATGGGGTCTCCGGGTTTCCACCCTGCAGGCATGGTCGGAAGGGCGGGCAGGGGTGCGGCTGGGGGAATGGATGGAGTAGGAGCAGCAGCAGCAGCAGCAGCAGCGCCAGCAGCAGCAGCAGAAGGAGCAGCAGGAGTGGCCGCAGCAGCAGAAGGAAAAGTGGCAGCGGTGGGAAGAGTTGGGAGGGGGTCTCCAGGTTTCCACCCCGGAGGAGGGGGAGGGAGGGGGAGGGGATCTCCTGGTCTCCACCCAGCCGGCATAGGTGGGGGTACCCCTGCTGCTGCCCCTCCTGCTGCTGCTTTTCCTGCTGCAGCGGCGGCGGCGGCGGCAGCAGCAGCAATGTCTGGAAAGGAAGGGAGGGGGTCTACGGGTTTCCACCCCGGAGGAGGGGGAGGCAAGCCCACTGGCACCCCTTTTCCTCCTCCTCCTCCTGCTCCTGCTGCTGCTGCCGCCGCCGCCGCCGCCGCCGCTGCAGCAGCAGCAAAATCAGCCTCGCCTGATCTCCCTGCCGCCTTCCCAGCAGCAGCAGCACCGGCAGTGGGAGTAGGCCGGGGACTGATAGGCTTCGATTCCCCTCCTTCCACCCCACCAACCCCACTTCTCCTCTCCTTCCCTCTCTCCTTTCCACTCTCCTTTTCCCTCTTCTTCTCCTTCCGGATAATCCCAAGGGCCTTCTCATCAGTACAGTGATACAGAAGTGACATTCTAAGCTGCTCATCCTGAGGTGCAGGGGGAAGGGCGGCGAGGAGAGGTGCACCTAGGGCGTGTTCGGGTGGCGCGAAGGTCGTGTAGCTGATGCGATGCGCGAATGCGATGAGCTGGCGAACAGAGACAGGCGCCACTTCGTCCCAGCCCAAAGGTTTGAATGATTCTTGCTGCTGCTGCTGCTGCTTTCGTTGCTGAGAGCGAGAACGAGAGCGCGAACGGGAGCGCGAACGAGAGCGAGAAGGGGAACGAGAAGGAGAACGAGAGGCAGAACCTTTTTGTTTCTTTTGTCGCTGGAGAGAAGGAGAGCGCGAATGAGAGTGGGAGCGAGAGCGAGAGCGAGAACCAGAAGGAGAACGAGAGGCAGGCCCTTTTTGTTTCTTTTGTCGCTGGAGAGAAGGAGAGCGCGAAAGTGAACGAGAACGAGAGCGAGAGCGAGAGCGAGAACGAGAAGGGGAACGAGACCCAGACCCTTTTTGTTTCATGCTCTTTCTCTTCTCCTTTGCTCCTTTCTCAGCCTTCTCTCCCAAACCAGCCTCCCCCTGCTCCCTCTTCTCCTCTACCCCGCTTCCCCCTGCAACCCCTTTCTCCTCCTCCCCAACCTCCCTCAACCCCTCTTTCCCCTCCCCACCCCCCCCCTTCGACCCTGCTCTGCCCCCCTCTCCTAGCAACTTAAAGCCTTTGTGTTCATCCAGCACAGCCAGAAGCAGCTGCTCTGCTTCCCTCGCTCTCCGCCCAAACTCCCTTAAAGCCTCGTTCGTTCGCCCCAGCTCCTCTCTCATCTTCGCGTGCTTCTCCTCCCCTGACTGGCTTTCATTCGCCGCCCCGACCTTGTCTCTCATGCCTGCTTTGTGCTCTTCCATACCCTGACAAGCAATGGGACGGGCGGACGGGAAGGAGGAACGTGTTTTGAGGCACCTCAAAACCCAATCTTGTCTCTCATGCCTGCTTTGTGCTCTTCCATACCCTGACAAGCAATGGGACGGGCGGACGGGAAGGAGGAACGTGTTTTGAGGCACCTCAAAACCCGATCTTGTCTCTCATGCCTGGTTTGTGCTCTTCCATACCCTGACAAGCAATGGGACGGGCGGACGGGAAGGAGGAACGTGTTTTGAGGCACCTCAAAACCCGATCTTGTCTCTCATGCCTGCTTTGTGCTCTTCCATACCCTGACAAGCAATGGGACGGGCGGACGGGAAGGAGGAACGTGTTTTGAGGCACCTCAAAACCCGATCTTGTCTCTCATGCCTGCTTTGTGCTCTTCCATACCCTGACAAGCAATGGGACGGGCGGACGGGAAGGAGGAACGTGTTTTGAGGCACCTCAAAACCCAATCTTGTCTCTCATGCCTGCTTTGTGCTCTTCCATACCCTGACAAGCAATGGGACGGGCGGACGGGAAGGAGGAACGTGTTTTGAGGCACCTCAAAACCCGATCTTGTCTCTCATGCCTGCTTTGTGCTCTTCCATACCCTGACAAGCAATGGGACGGGCGGACGGGAAGGAGGAACGTGTTTTGAGGCACCTCAAAACCCAATCTTGTCTCTCATGCCTGCTTTGTGCTCTTCCATACCCTGACAAGCAATGGGACGGGCGGACGGGAAGGAGGAACGTGTTGTGAGGCACCTCAAAACCCGATCTTGTCTCTCATGCCTGCTTTGTGCTCTTCCATACCCTGACAAAAAATGGGACGGGCGGACGGGAAGGAGGTACGTGTTTTGAGGCACCTCAAAACCCGATCTTGTCTCTCATGCCTGCTTTGTGCTCTTCCATACCCTGACAAGCAATGGGACGGGCGGACGGGAAGGAGGAACGTGTTTTGAGGCACCTCAAAACCCGATCTTGTCTCTGCACAGCCAGCAGCAGCTGCTCTGCTTCCCTCGCCCGGCGCCCAAACTCCCTTAAAGCCTCATTGGTTCGCCCCAGCTCCTCTCTCATCTTTGTTTTTCTCTCTTCACCTCTCTGCTCCTCATTGTGTCCTTCCATGCTTGGCTTGCGACCCTGCAGGACAGTAAGAGGGGCGGGGGGGGAGGAGAGGCGGAGGGGAAGGAGGGACGTGTGGTTGATTGCCCTGCTCTGCACTGCTTTTCTCTTCACCTCCCTTGCCTTGTGACCCTGGAGGACAAGAAGAGGGGCAGAAGGAAGGGAAGGAGTTGGTTCGCCCCAGCTCCCCTCTCATCTTTGTTTTTCTCTCTTCACCTCTCTGCTCCTCATTGTGTCCTTCCATGCTTGGCTTGCGACCCTGCAGGACAGTAAGAGGGGCGGGGGTGGAGGAGAGGCGGAGGGGAAGGAGGGACGTGTGGTTGATTGCCCTGCTCTGCACTGCTTCTCTCTTCACCTCCCTTGCCTTGTGACCCTGGAGGACAAGAAGAGGGGCGGAAGGAAGGGAAGGAGTTGGTTCGCCCCAGCTCCTCTCTCATCTTTGTTTTTCTCTCTTCACCTCTCTGCTCCTCATTGTGTCCTTCCATGCTTGGCTTGCGACCCTGCAGGACAGTAAGAAGGGCGGAAGGGAGAAAAGGAGGGAAAGGACACGTAATCAATTGCTCCGCTCTGCTCCCCTCGCCCTGAGCCCAAACTCCCTTAAAGCCTCATTGGTGCGACCCAGCTCCTCTCTCGTCTTCGCTTTCCTCTCTTCACCTCCCTCCTCCCCTGTCTTGTGCTCCTCCATGCTTGCCTTGCGACCCTGCACAGCAAGAGGGAGAGGGGCGGAAGGGAAGGAGGGAGGGGACATGTAATCGTTTGCTCTGCTCGGCTCTGCTTCCCTCGCCCGGCTCCCACACTCCCTCAAAGCCTTGTTATCTGCCTCGTGAGGAAAAATGTCGCTGAGGTGAGGAGAGCAGAAAGCGAAATGGCTAGAAGGGAACGTGGAGGGAGGAGAAGGGAATAACGCACCCTAATTGAGCTGATCAACGCTCTTACCCAGACGAGCTTTGGGGTGCCTTATAATGAGGTGACTTTTGAATCGACTCAAAAGTCACCCTAATTGAGCTGACCAATGTTCCTACCCAGACGACATTTGAGGTGCTTCATAGTGAGACGAGCTTTGAGCTCCTCAAAACCTGTGGACGGAAAAGGGGAATCACGCACTCTACCTGAAATAATGAGGGTTCGTACCTAAACTGGAAGAAAACGCGGAGGAGAGAAGAAAACGCCCTGTTCAGGCTCCTTCCGTTTCAGGCCTCCTCCGTTGCGACATTAATCGTTGGGCCTCCTTCCGTTGCGAGCCCCTTCCGTTTCAAGCTCCACTACTATCAGAAATTACAAGTGGCGATTCGAACACCCTATCCCCGTTAATGGCAGTATCGGGGTGTGAGATGTGCCAAGGCGAAGAGTTACTGCACGGAGGGGTGTGGACCGAAACGGCGTAACCCTAAACACCGAGTTGGGCTATTCTTTCGCCGTCGCCGCTTTTACCGCAAATGCACCTCCTGCTAGCGAATAGGGAGCAGCTCGAAGACTGGTACGGTGGAATCCCAGAATCCAAAGTCTGCACGAGTAGCAAGCGACCCAGTGAGAGTGAGTTTTCTGGGGACAATCGAGGCGCGTCTTTCGGTGTTCTGGGATTTCAGTAAAGACGTTCAAACCAGGGGAAAATTTATCAGGGTAAATCACCCTGATACCCTGATAATCAGGGTGGTTTTTGGGGGTCACACTGATGGCCCCGGGTAATTTTTCTAGGAGCTAGTTTTACCATGATGAACCAGGGTTTACATTTATGTCACACTGATGCATAAGGGTTCCCGGATCCCATAACGAGTTTTACCCTGAAACGAGTACCCTACCCCTCCCCCTCGCCCCCCAGTACCCCCAACCCCCCTTTCCCGTAACCCTGGAATCCCGATTGCCAAGTGTCGAAGCCTGATTTTCGGCCTTGACAGCGCATGTGCTGGCACACATTGAGCCACCATTAGCCAGGCTTACAGTTTCTTTGTATTGAGTGCAAGTATAAAAACTAGTGAACAGGGTTTGTTTTTTATGAACACTGATGCGCCAGGGTATATTTTTCCAAAACGGGGAAAACCCTGATGGGAAAGTTTTTTCACAAGGAGTCACACTGATAATCAGGTTTTTGAGCCTGAGCCACACTGATCGTAAGGGTAGGCCAAATCCAAAAGTTTGAACTTCGAACTGGAATTTTGCGCGTTGATACTAGACACCTCCATAGAGTTTTGCGTTTCGACGACGGATCCACCTTCATTTTCATTTCTATTTGTTTTCATTGTACCTCAGAAAGCTTTTCAACACTGGACAAGCATCACATTCATACTGAATCAAACACATTTGGAAACAAAAAACAAAACATGAAATCATAATGACTTAGATGTGAACACAATAAGCACGACACCACCCATCTCCTTCCCCATGTCATGTGGGGAACGATGGAGATAGGTAGCTGAAACCAAAGTATAACACGATAGTGTTGAGAAAGGCAACCATTTTGTGTTGAGTCAGGAGCACTTTACTCCACAGAGTCTACCTCCACCTTCTTCCACTCCTCCCCATTCCTGTCACTACCCAGTTGCTGTGCCTGTCAGCTCGCGCAAGACATGCGGTAACCTGTGAGGATGGGCCTCAATCCTACCTCCTCCACCTTCCCCTGCTCCTCCTGCTCCTCCTGTTTAACAACTTCCCAGATCCTGTGCCTGTGCCAGCCAGCTCACGACCCATGAGGGTCGTGACTCTGTCTGAGAAGGATTTGATTCACCCTGAAAATGCACCCTCTTCCGCTCCACCTTCCTTCTCCTGCTCAAGTTTCTGCACCTCTGCTTGTCTGACACTACCACTCCTCATTGCTGCTGCATTGCTGCTGCGGCACACCAACTGCACCCTCGGCTTATTTCGAGTCCGCTTATGAATGAGGAGCCTCATGCACGCTCACACTTATTGTGAAACCCTCGAAAGCCGTTACTCGGTGCAAGCTTGAACTTGCACCCTCGTTTCAGGTACATGTACCAAGGATTTAAGGTGCCGGCAATGCTGCACCTTCCCTACCGCCAACCAGGCACAACAATGCTGCACCTTCCCTACCGCCAACCAGGCACAACAATGCTGTACCTTCCCTACCCTCCAAGGGCAGGAAGGGCAGCTTATGGAATCCTGCCCTTCCTTCCCTCCCTACCACACTGCAGTTGCTCTTCCCCTCTCCACTGCTCAGACCTGCTCCAACCAAGCATGACCATGCTGTACCACTTATGAAGTCCTCCTGCTCTTCCCACCCTCCCTACCACACTGCAGTTGCTCTTCCCCTCTCCACTGCTCCGCCGTGCTCCTCTGCCCCTCTGCTCCCTAAACCACACTACTGATGCTGCGCCTCCACTGTCACTCTCTGCTACTAATGTGTTCAGAGCGTCATTTCAATGCTAGCTCAAGCAAATCTGGGCCATGCTCGGGCAACCGTATTGAACCCCTTTGTACTGCCTCTCACCTGCTCCAACCCCTGATCGGAGCAGCAGTAGCATCAGTAGGCAGAGAGCTGTTACTAGCTCTTTGCCACTCAAACCCATGAGCACCCCTCAGTACCCCTACTTAATCATTCGGAGGAGGCAGGGACGGAGAACTGCTTGCTTGTTGTGCTGACCCCCCTACTCCACACCATGACAGCAGCAGCAGTATCAGGAGAATGATTCCCACTATCGCCACAAGCGCCGTTACTAGCTCTCTGCCATTCAAACCCATCAGCACCGTTACTCCTCCCTCACTCTCCTCCCCATCAGACTCCCCTACTCCCCCTTTCCCTCCAGCTTTTGATCTCGACCGTCGCTTCTTTCGGTGCAGCGACAGCTGCCAGCCAAAAACCAGCCGTTGATTCTCGCCTGCGTCGTCATCGTGAGCAGATCCCTGCCGTTGATCATCCTCCTCTTCTTCCTCTGCTAGCCGTTGAGCCGGCCAATGGGCGTTCATCTGAGCGACCTGGCTGTTGTTTAATTGCAGAAGACCCTGGGAAAGGGGAGGGGAAAGGGGAGGCAGGGAAGGGGGAAAGGCAGGGAAGGGGAAAACGCAGGGAATAGCATGGAACATATGAGGAACGTGTAGGATTCAGGCAAAGGCAGTTGGTTCACTGGGCCAATGGGCGTTCATCTGAGCGGCCTGGCTGTTGTTTAATTGCAACAGACCCTGGGGAGAGGCAGAGTGGGACGAGAGATGGGATGGGCGAGGGACAGAGAGAACGTGTAGGGAAGGAGAGCATTAGAAGTAGTAGTAGGAGTGCATGAACGCTAAGAGGCGTAACTTCCCAGGCGGAAGGGGGAAACAATGAATCGCCAATATACCCGAGGAAAAATCAGGGAAAAGAAACAACAGAAGGAAAAAAAAAAGGGGGAGAAAACTAACCAGTTCCATTTCGGCCATGTCCACACGTCCGTCGAGCAGCAGCCTCCCCGAACCCATCGTCTCCTTCTCGCCATACCCCCCCTTACCAGCCACCCCGCCCGCTCCCCCTCCTGCTGCTCCACCTTCCCCCGGTCTTTGAATATGCTTTAGCCAGTAAACCAGGCACTGCCATGACGGTTGTTGCTGCTCCCGCCCGCGCCGCCACCGCCGCTGCTGCTGCTGCCCCCACCACCCGCCCCTGCTGCCGGTTGCGCCTCCCCCGGTTGCGCCTCCCCCGAATAGCGGTGCGTGCTCCGAATCGGAGTGCTCACGACCCAATCGTGATCCCCCCAAATGCGAATGGCTCAGATGTGACCCGCCTAAGTCAGCCCCGAATGTTTTTTGTGACGTCTCAAACGCCCCAGTAGCACCAGAGGACCCGTTAATAGCACATGCACTAAGGCTGGCGATGTCCTCGTCTTCGTCACTGAGTGAAACCCTAATCGCTTCCTGCCGGACCCGCAGCCAATCGTCAGCCGCCACGTCAGCATTGCCGCTGGCATCTAGGGCTCTGGTAGGGCTGCCGGCGATCCAACGGCTAAAGGAGGACACGGCGGAGGCGGAGGAGGAAAAGGCGGCTACCGCTGCGCCTGCTGCTGCGCCTGCCGCTGCGCCAGCTGCCGCCGCTGCTGCTCCTGCCGCTGCGCCTGCCGCCGCGCCTGCAGCCGCTGCTGCTGCGGCCACTGCACCAGCAGCACCTGCTGATTCTATAATGTCCAACTCAGCAGAATGGGAAGCTGCTGTAGGAGGGGGAAACGACGAGCTCGCTAGCACTGCGGGCGCGGAACCTACGGCTGAAACTCTGGCTGATTTTCGGCAAGGACTTCCGTTGTTATCCCCGATATTGTCGGCCCCACTACAGGAGCTAGTTGCGCCACTGACGCTGCTGCCGCTGCTGACAGTCGTGAAACTGCTACTGCTGCCGCCGCTGCTGCTTCTGGAAGCAGCGACACGTGGCGGCGTGAGAAAGGCCGCGAGGCGACTGTCCAATGAGCTGTTGCTGCAGCTGCCGCTGCTTACGTCAGCGGCACGGAAAGATGAAGGAGAGACGAAAGCAGGGTTACCATCAGTTTCAGTAGAAGCAACAGCTGCTGCTGCTGCTCGGCTAGACGCGTTAGAAGCGGCCGCTGCCAAACCGGACGGAAAAGCGACTGTTATTCCACCGGAATCCACGCCGCTAACCGCGCTACTACTTCCGACCGAAGACCCGGACGCGACGGCTGTATCTGCGGCAGCCGAGGAGGCGCCGATCGCGGGGCGGATGACGGCCTGCACCTGCTGCAGCTGCATGCGAATCGCGGAGACGAACTGGCGGCGCCGCTCGCGAGTCTCGTTCACGCTGGATGGCGCCTGGCCTAGCGCCTCGGCGCGCCACTCGTCGTCTCGCGCCGCGCGCTCGAAGGCTTCGAGCTGCCAGCGCAGCGTGTCGCACGCGCAGAGCATCACGAGTCGCACGCCTTCCTCGTCGACTTGCTGATCAACGGTCACAACCACCACGTCCTCGTCGTCGCCGGACCGCACCGGCCAGATGGAGTCGCCGTCGTTGTCGTTTTCTGGGTGCGTTTGCCACGTGGCGGGTTCGTCTCCGCATTCTCGGCGCTGGAGGAGAAGCTGCCATTGGTGGAAGCTCGACTGCAGCCTGAAAATACGGGAGTAGTGAAGATAGAGATAGCGAAGAATAAACAATGAGGTGCCTTAAAAAGGGAGGGGAACTGGCCCTGAAATTATAGAAATGCGATAGGAGTTTTAAGGTACGGGAGGGAGAAAAGGTAGGTGTCGCAATAGGGGGACATCGAGATACCTAAAACGGACCCAAAGGAAAGAGGGTTGCGACCCCAAAGCAGGATCGAAAGCGGACCTAACCTAGAGGATCTTAAGAACTCATGGCGTGCGCATGGCGACTGGACGTGGTACGAGGTAAGTCGACAGTGAACAAAAAAATGCGACGAAAAACGCGAATCGCGAAACAATTGCGAGTCACCATCAGGACTGGCCGCGGAGTTGCGGCGGAGGTGACGAGAGATAAGAAGAGAAGCCGGCAGACGGAGAGAGGGAGAGAGGGAGAGGAGACGGACCTGTCTGCCGAGTCTTGCACCTCCTCAGCCGCTAGGAAGAGCGGGTCGGCTTGCCACGTGTACAACGTGGCGACTACCATGACTAAACGTGTGCACAGGAATACTCGCGATTCAAGTAGTATAAACGACCAATTCTGCACTAAGGTATACGCTCTACTGTGATTCTGTACGTTCTAGACAGAACCGAACCTAACGGTTGACTAGGCCTACTTTGGCCAACTGGCTTACGTCAGCGATCGAAGAAACTCTAATCAAAGGAATTCTGGAACCTGTCTCGCTGGCACATCGGGAAGTTCGAGCATGGAATCTATTACCGCATAAATCAAGTTTTTAGAAGCCTAGGGCTGCGCGAGCAGAATCGAAGTTTACAAGAACAAGGGGAGCTGCTTCATTGAAGTTGACGAGTTCAGGTCAGGTCTGACAGGATCAAACAGCAGCAGCAGCAGCATTGAAGTTGACGACGAGGCGAGAGAGACGAGACGAGACGAGACGAGACAAACAAGCAAGAACCAGCGGTGAGGCGAGGAGAACGCGAAGCAGCAGCGGTGGTGAGTGTGTGAGTGTGTGTGGTGTGGGTAGTGGTGACTGGGCATGGAGAGACTCGGCTCAGTGGTGAGACTCGAGGTTCGAGACCCGGTTCGGAGGAGTGTGAGGGAGACCGAAGGAATCGAGACAGGACAGCGCGGCATATAGGTTGCTGTTCATTGGTGGATGGCCTCGAGACGCTGCGGCGCTGAACCGAACCTGGTGGCTCGAGGCAAGTTTGTCCACTTGTAGGGTGGTGGTGGGTGGGTGGCTGGGTGGTGCGGCAATTTCGGTTCGGGAATGAGGGGAGGGTGGCAGGGAGAGGTTGCTCGGCTTGGGAGGGGCGAGGGGGGGTTTGGGGGTGCGGTTGGGGCGGCAAAGAGGGGGGAGGAGGGAGGGTTTTGGTTCGTCAAGCGCTCGGGAACGCGTCAGCCGTGCAGAGCGGAGGCGGAAGAAGCCCCGCCGACACGCTGCTGTACACCAATGAACGCTGCCGGAAAGTCGAAAATGTAGGCTGGAAGAAGAAACGGTGGTCGTTTGTTGTATAAAGTTCGGCTGGGTTCAAGCATGTAGACTTCGCGTCGGACAAGAGCAGGTCCGAGCCACTTGCGGTTGGTGGATACAGCCTAGAATTACGGTGACAGAAAAAGACACATGGGGCAGGGACATGGATGATGGGCAGACGTTGGAGAAACCGATTTGGTTTCGATCGAGGCATAGCCACCACGACGAACGAGAGACGCAGGAGCTGTTCATGGCACCCTTAGCAATGCCCGGCCTAGTTTGGGTTAAAGGTTCGGCAGAAATGGTAGGGTGGCTCGGCAACGCAAGCCTGTTTGCCCCACAAGCCTCCCTGTGGCAGACTTTGACGTTTCGTTTTCACTGCTGGCACTGTGATAACAGTCACAGCCGTCAATTGTAGCTGACGTATTGGGGATGGGGTCTTGGCTGCGTCGAATGTTCGGGTCCCACTCTGACGGTTGACCTGCCAATCTGACGTCGCCGTCATAATCCGCGGTAAATCAGCGCAGCATGGAGCCAGCTGGCAGTTACATCCCATCGATATATGTAGCGGGCAGGCTCGTCCAAACGTTTCTGAGGCCGATCCCTGCCTTGACAACAACACCCACAATGCAGAAAACCTAGTTACACGAGCTATGATTGGTGCTCGACATTCCACGTGCGCTGGATACAGTACGACCGACATGAGCACCGTCCACGTTGAAACACAGCTGGACTCGATGTCTCCACGACGAGAAAGTGCGTGACTGGAACGTGGATTCGATATAAGGGGATTACAGCGCAGCAGGTTTGGTCGTCCATACTTCGTGGCCAGTCAATCTGAAATTTCGCTTGAAGCAACTAGATTATCAGCTTCACAAACGAGTCTTCCAAGCTCCTTCCAGAATACAGAGCACAGACACACTTCTTTCACACAAATTGAATAAAAAAATGCACCCACAACCCCAATGGATCATACTATGACAACCCTCGACGTGAACAAGTTTTATCAAGCTCATTCACCTCTTCCCTCGCCACATCTCCGCTCCACGCACCGCTATCATCAGTTCAAGAGCTGTCGTACGCACCATCGAGCAAATAATCATGACCTTGTTTTCCACTATCATTCCCCCAAAATCTGGGCCTAGGGAAATGACTGTGACTTGATCCTTCCCCGTCCCTTTTACCACCGTATAATGTGCTCAAACCATGTGTATGTGTGTGTTTACCACGTTCTTGATTATGAGGTGAAATTACACCCTCTCGGCTGAAGAGCTGACTGTGAATCTCCCCGCTTTGGCCAATATCAAGTGTGTGGCTCCCAGTGCGGTTCTCCCGAGCCTCATCCCTAGGTTCGGTGATTGCTCCGGAGTGTGGTGGAGGCTGTAGGGTTGCAGAAGAGTGTGCTATGTGGTGGGTGCTCTGAGTCGTGGAGGAGAGGGAGTGCGAGAGTGTGAGGAGAGGGGAGATCCCTGCAGGTTGCTGCTCGGCTGGTTGGCTCGGTGAGTGTCGGAAGTGCGAAAGCAATGTGGTTGACTCGGTTGACTTTTGAACTGACTCAGTTGACTTTTTGGCTGACTCAGAAGCCATCCCTGCGGGTGGCTGGCCGGCTAGTTGGCTCTGTGAGTGCCAGGACTGTGAAGGCGATGAGGTTGACTCAAGGTCAGACTTGCAAGAAGACAATGCCAGGTCCCCACTGCAGCACAAGGGAAGGGGGGGAAGACAAGGAGAAAGGCGAGTTGGTTCTTGAGGTGCCTCTGGCACTGGTGGCAACAGTGCAAAACCCTAGGCACAACACAACACAGCACACCCTCCTATTTCTTCTCACCAGTCCAACCCTGGGACTGTCATCCTCAGCAGTCTCGGCATCACCGCCCCCTCTGCCTCTGGCACAGGCGGCAGCAGGGGATGGTATACCTAGAATGGGGAAGTGGGTGGGGCTACTAGAAGGTCTCACCTGTAGTCCAGCCCTTGAACAGTCATTCTCAGCAGTCTCGGCATGGCCGCCCGTTCTGCCTCTGGCACAGGCTTCAGCAGGGAAAAAGCAACCGCCCCTGCCTCACTCATGCCAACCGTACGCACCACCCACCCTGCTTCATCTCACCTGTAGTCCAGCCCTTGCACTGTCATGGCATCTCAACCCTAGCCACCACACACCCATTGGTGTTTCCTCACCTGTAGTCCAGCCCTTGAACTGTCATCCTCAGAAGTCTCGGCATGGCCGCTCGTTCTGCCTCTGGCACAGGCGGCAGAAGGGAAAACCCTATCCCTCCTGCCCCACTCCCTTCAGGCCCCCTCATACTCTCCCCTCCACCTGGGTTTTCAAACCCCTCCTCTGCTGATAAGTAGGAAGCAGGGGAGGCGGCAGCTGGGGAAGGTATATCTGGGGAGGGGTAGTGGGGCGGTGGGAAGGAGGGATGGTGGCGTCTGGGTGTGTGGTGGGGAGAGGCGAGGGAGGAGGAGTGAGAAGGGGAGTGAGAGAGGGACTGTGAGCGGGAGTGAGAGGGGAAGTGTGGGGGTTGACGGGAGGAGTAGGGGGAGGGGTGGGAGGGGCGGAGACGGGAGGGATGGGTGTGAGGGTGAGGGAGTGAGGAGAGGGAGGAGAGCAGAGGGGTTTGTGTGGTGGGGCGAGATGGGGAGGAGTGAGTGGAGGAGTGAGAAGGGGAAAGGAGGGATCTGGAGGGGGTGGGGGTGAAGGGGGTCTGATGGGGGTGAGGGGCACGGAAGGGTACACGGGAGGAAGAGGAGGAGGAAGCGGAGGAGGAGGAAGAAGAAGAGGAAGCAGAGGAGGCGGAAGTAGCAGTGGTAGCACTTGCAGTTGCTGTTGGTGCGGATACTGATTTGCTGCTGAAAAGGGGAGAGCAAGGAGGGGCAGGGCAGGCAGGAAGGGAGATAACGGAAAACGGAGAATGGATTGAAAGAAGGTTCGTGAGACGACTTTTCAGTCGACTCAGAGTCAACTCGATTTGCTGGGGAGCACAGAGGGGCAGGGCAGGCAGAAAGGGAGATATCGGAAAACGGATTGGAAGAAGGCTGGTGAGACGTGGGTACGGGGAAGAAGGGAGTGTTGAGGAGAGAAGAGGAAGTGAATGGTGGGGAGGCTGAAAAGAGAGCAATGCAAGGGGATGGGATGGAGGCGACAGGGAATGGAGAGAAGATAATTGGAAAATTGAAGGACATAAAGACGGATATTTTTTTGTTTTCATTTTTTTATTTCACCTACATAAAATGTTATGTAAGACTGCTTACCATGCTGCCATGGAATCTTCAGACTGAATTTGCCGCAGTAGCTGCAAGCGGGGACGGGATGGGAGACATCAATTGAAAGGAGAGAAGTATTCATCAAGATTTGAAGTGTCGCACACATGCCGCACGCATGTCGCACGCATGTCGCACGCATGTCGCACGCATGCCGCACGCATGCCACACGCATGCTGCACGCATGCCGCACGCATGCCGCACGCATGCCGCACGCATGCCGCACGCATGCCGCACGCATGCCGCACGCATGCCGCACGCATGTCGCACGCATGTGCACGCATGTCGCACGCATGTCGCACGCATGTCGCATGCATGTCGCTTGCACATGTCGCACACTTGTACGCTAGCCGACTCGTAGCCGGTCTTCAATCACAAAGTAAACTTGATACTTTCCAACAGCTGTACACCACACACGCAGATACACACACACTCATTTTCTTCAACTCACCTCCACCACTTGACTTATCGCCGGTGCTTTCCCAGCATCAGCAGCAACACACATTTCAGCCACAGCAGCAGCCTCACTTGCACACAACAGATGCACTGGTCACACACATAAACACCAAGTTGTTTGGTTGGACGATAGGTACAAAGAACTCACCACCACTACTTGACTCATGGCCGGCCGTTTAGCAGCATCAGCAGCAACACACATCCCAGCCACAGCAGCCACCCTTACACACAGGTCACAACAGGTCACACTGTTACACACTCTCACCTCCACTTCTTGACTCATCACCGGTCTTTTCCCAGCATCAGCAGCAACACACATCCAAGCCAAAGCAGCCACCCTTGTATTGAACGCAACGCACCCACACGCACTGGTCGGACACATAGACACTTGGTTGTAAGGTAGATAGGACGCACCTCCACTACTTGACTCATGGCCGGCCGTTTAGCAACATCAGCAGCAACACACATCCCAGCCACGGAAACCACCCGAACCAGACTCCCCTCGTCGAACCTCCCCTCCAGCAACGGGTCGGCGAGCTGCCGAACCTGCAGCCTAGGCTCGGCAAGCAGCGGCCTGGCCCACTGCACGAGGCTCTCCACACCTCCAGGCTCGGTTCGGACCACAGGTTTACGTCCGGTGAGAAGCTCCAGGAGGATAACACCGAAGCTATATACATCACTCTTGAGACTGAAACTCCCCGTGAGTGTGTATTCTGGAGCCATGTAACCGAACGTGCCCACCAAATGTCCCGATACCATTTGTGCTGATACCATTTTATTCTGATCGACCATCTGCTCTGATACCAGTTCCCTCCGCTCGGCCACGCCTCCCCCTCGCCTTCCCATCAACCATCCTCTCTCACCCTCTCCGCTCTCCTCTTGATTTAGCCAATCTCCTTTCCCCGACTCTTCTCCCTCCCTCTCCCTGCCTTCCTCCTCCCCCTCCACGCTCCCACTCCCCGCACCCCTTTTCCTGCCTTCTCCCCCCTCTTCTACGACAGAAATACCCAACTCCTTCTCCTGCCGAACCACCACTGTCCTAGCCAGCCCGAAATCAGCGATCTTAGGCACCAAGTCTCTATCTATCAGCACATTTGCAGATTTCAAGTCCCGGTGGATGATAGAAGGGGAAGAGTCCTCATGCAAGTAACGTATGCCCTGGGCTACTCCCAGTGCTATTTTGAGCCTCTGAGGCCAGTCTAAGGGGGGGAGAGGAAGGGGAGTGAGGGGAGGAGGAGAGAGAGGAGGAAGTAGAGGAGCGTGGGAAGCACCTTCTCCTCCTCCTCCTCCTCCTCCTTCTCCTCCTTCTCCTTCTTCCTCCTCTCTTTCTCCCCCTCCCCCTCTTTCTGTCCCGTTCCTTCTTTCTCCCCCCTCCCCTCTTTCTCGTCCTGATCTTACATGCAGCAGAGAGTGCAAAGTCCCCTTTTCCACCAACTCAAAAACCAGGCACCGAAAGTTCCCCTCACAGCAGATTCCCAGAAGCTTCACGATGTTTCTGTGATTCAAACAGCTTAAAAGACGTGCCTCCGCGGAGAACTCTTTATCAAAATCGAGTTCCCTTGTAGGGGGGATGTCCGCAGAACCTGCTCCCCAGCCTGCTCCCACACCTGTTTGCAAGCCTGTTGCTTCCGAGCCTTGCGCTCCCGAACCTGCTCCCGAACCTGCTCCCGAGCCTGCTCCTGCTGCTGCTGCTGCTGCTTTTGGTGAGGCTCTTGCTGCTGCGGCTGCTGCTTCTGCTGCTGCTGCCATAACCATAGCTGCTCCTGCTGCTTGCTCATTTAGGTTCGGTGACCGAGCTACATCTGCCAACGCTGTTGCCGAGGTTCGGGAGGAGAGGAGCAGCTTCACAGCAACCGGCGTCCCGTTTTCCAAAACCCCCTTGTACACCCGACTAAACCCTCCCTGCCCGATCAGCCTGCCCGAGCTGAAATTTTCCGTGGCTGCCTGTATCTGCGCGACTGAGAAAGAATACGACCCGTCACAAAAGTTTCCAAGCTTTAAGGACGTTGCAAAAGGGATGCCGGAACTTTCGGGCTTTAAGTGCCTCTTCTTTGTCTTCTTGCCCCTCCTCCCACCTACCTCCTCTCCCACTCCCCTACTGGTCTGGTTTCCTGCATTCCCCCCCACTCCTACCCTTGCACCTTCTTCCCCTCCCACTGAATCCCCTCCTTCTCTTATTAAAAGGGTAGGTCTATGTGGAGGGGAGGAGGGAGGAGAGGAATAATCACGTGGAGGGGAGTAAAAGCTTGCTCGTTTACCAGGTGAGTGCAACCCAGCTGCTGCTGCTGCTGCTGCCGCTGCTGCAGCAGCAGCAGCCGAGCTTGCTTCAGCAAGCCACGAGCCATCCCCCTCCTCGTCTCCCTCACTCCCTCCCCCCCAAAACGGCCCGACTGTTCTCACCCCCTTAAACGCGTTTCTCTGAGCCTTCCGGGTGACTAGCCGGTTCCACACTATCGCAACCAGGGTAACCAGCGCAAATACCCCCACCGGGATTCCAATGATCAGGAGGATGAGGAGAGAGGAGAGCGAGGAGGAGGAGGGAGGAGAGGAAGAGGAGGAGGAAGGGGAGGATGTGTCACTGGCGTTGGTGCTGTTAGCAGTGATGGTGGGAGTGAGAGGCTGATCGGGGGAGGGAGGAGGGGGAGGGCTGGGAAACGGTTGACCTGAAAGGGGGCAGAAAACAGAAAACAGAAAATAGAGGGGGAAATGAAAGGATACGGTGATGCTAGATGAGAAAAGAGTTGGGGCTTGCTATTAGCGGTGATGGCGGGTGAGAGAGGCGGGTGAGAGAGGCTGATCGGGGGAAGGAGGAGGAGGAGGGCTGGGGAGTGGTTGATCTGAGAGGGGGGCAGAAAACAGAAAAAAGAACAGAGGGGGGAACGAAAGGAGGGATGAGAGAAGGTAATGTGCTTGTTCTATTAGAGGTGATGACGGGTGAGAGTGGCTGATCGGGGGAGGGAGGAGTAGGAGGGCTGCGGAACGGTAAACCTGACAGAGAGCAGGAAACAAGGTACGGAAAACAGAGAACAGAACGTGTTTTTGAGTGGACTCAAAAACAGTCGACTCAAAAGCAGAGCGTGTTTTTTAGTCGACTCAAAAACGGTAAACCTGACAGAGAGCAGGAAACAGGGTACGGAAAACAGAGAACAGAACGGGCAAAAAGAATTTTGAGATCAGCTACCTCGGTTTCACGCGCACATGTTTTTGCGAGCCCTAAAAAAACCCAAGCGCTTAACCCTGGACATTAAACTGCATAACCCCCTCTTTTTTCTATTTAGGAACGCTAGAAAACCAACTCTGTACAACCAGAACGGCACCCACTCCAACCACACACGAGAGCAGCCCAACCCATCCCAACCCAACTTACCCGGGTTTAGAATTAAAAGGACGGTAAACTCCCCAAACAAACTCGGGTCAGGCTGCACTCCTCCTCCCAGCAACACCTGCCGAATCCTGGTCACCTCGGTCCGATTCAGCTGCACCGGCAGCTCCCCCTGAGAGTTTCCATTCTCTGCTCCTGCCAGCAAGCGTGAGTGCCTCTGTACTTCTGCCTCTGCTCTTCTCCTTTCTTCTGGCAGGAGATGAGACTTTTGAGTCGACTCAAAAGTCACCTTGGTACCAATGAGGCCCGCTGGATCGCTTTTGAGGTGCCTCACAAGAGGTCCAGCCTCCGCTGCTGCGGCTGCTGCTCCTGCTGCGTTTTCTGCTGTTGCCTCCACCGCCGCTACTGCTGCTGCTGCTGCTGCTGTCCCTTCCCCTTCCACTGGCAGAAAATACGTGGTAACCACAAGCGCCGTGGGATCAGGATCGTAAGTGACAGCCCAGACCTCCACTTGAGGGGGCTGTAAGAGGAGGGGCGAGGCGAGCTCTCGCGCGAACGAGGGGACGTTGTGTAGGAAGGAGTCGAAGGAGGAGTGCAGGCGAGCTATGAGCACCATTGGGAGGGCACAGGCGCAGGGGAGGGAGGGGGAGGTGGAGGGAAGGAGGACGGTGGGGGATGGGCAGGGGGGGCAGTCTGGGAGGAAAACAAGGGGGAACGGGTGGGGGGAAAGAGGGGCAAGGTATTTTGTCAGAGGATTTTTCTGATCAGCGTGATAGGGAAGGCCAAGGCGAGCTGTTGTGCGAACACAGGGAAGTTGGTCAGGAAGGAGTCGAAGGAGGAGTGCCGGCGAGCTATGAGCACCATTGGGAGGGCGCAGAGGCAGGGGAGGGAAGGAGTGGAAGAGGAGGGTGGGGGTAACAGGGAGGGGGTGGGAGAAAAGAGGAGATGGGTGGGTGGGTGTCGGGAGAATGGTGGGAGTGAAGCAATCAGCGAAGGGAGAGAGAGGGGAACGAGAGGGAGCGGTGGAGAGAGGTGAAGAGAGGTGGGAATGAAGTGCAGAGAGGGCGAGTGATGAGACAAGGGAGGGGGGAACGAGTGGGAGAGATTGAAAGGGAGAGTACTCACTTCGGCTGTCAGGCAGGAGGAGGGGGTGGAAGGATGAGTGGGAGAGGGAAGAGAGGGGAGAGGGGGAAAACTAGAGAAGTGAGGGGCGGAAAATGAGAACGAACTCACTTCGGCCGTCAGGGGGAGGGGGCGGAAGGATGAGCGACGTGAATGGCACCATGAGCGGTGGTGGCGGACGTGGTGACGGCAGGACAGTGGCAGTGCTTGATGGGCCGATTGTGAATGGAGGAAGAGAAGAGAGCAGAAGAGGAGAAAGATGAGGGAGAGAAGTTACTAGAGAAGGGAGGAGGGAGGAATAAAAAAGAACTTACTTCTGCTGTCGGGGGGTGGAGGTGGAAGGATGAGCGGCGGTGGTGGTGGTGCTGCTGACGGCAGGACAGCGGCCGGGCTTGACGGGCCGACGGTGAATGCAGGAGGGGGTTGACTTTTGAGTCGACTCAAAAGTCAGCGGCCGGGCTTGACGGGCCGACGGTGAATGCAGGAGGGGGAGGAGGAGGCTAGAGAGGTGGGAACCACGGGCAGGAAGGGGGAAGCATTTAGAAAGAATAGGGGAAAACACAAGGCAAACTTACTTCGGCTGTCGGGGGGAGGGGGCGGAAGGATGAGAGGCGGTGGCGGTGGTGGTGACGGCAGGACAGCGGCCGGGCTTGACGAACCGACGGTGAATGGCGGAGGACAAAGCAGAGGAGGAGAGAGCAGGGGAGAAGGAGAAAGAGGAGGGAGAGAAGTAATCAGAGAAGGGAGGAGGGAGGAAGAAAGGAGAACTTACTTCGGCTGTCGGGGGGCGGGGGCGGAAGGATGAGAGGCGGTGGCGGCGGTGACGGCAGGACAGCGGCCGGGCTTGATGGGCCGACGGTGAATGGCGGAGGAGAAAGCAGCGAAGGAGGAGGAGGAAGCAGTGGAGGAGGCGGGGAAGGGGTGAGAGCACCAGGAGGGAAGGATGGGAATAAGCTAGGAGGAGGGGTGGATTGGAGGCGAGGAGGCGAGGGAGGAGGAGGGGGAGGTGTGAGGGTGACAGGAGCGAAGCTGCGGGGTGTGCCGGCATAGAGAGGGGGGTGGTGTTTTATAGGGTGATGGACGGGAGGGGGAGGGGGAGGGGGGAGGGGTTGGGGAAGGGAATGGGGCGGGGGAGGGGGGAGTGGAGGAGGGGGATGGGGGAGAGTGTGTGGAGGGGGATAGAGTGAGGATGGAGGGTGAGAGGAGGAAGAAGGTGGGGAAGGAGGAGGGGATGAGGAAGGGGAGGAGAGAGTGGGGGCAGTGGGGGGGAAACGATGGGGGTGGGGGGAGAGAGGTGGGGGAGGAGAAGGGGAAAGGGGGAAGACAGCAGAGGGGGAGGGGGAAGGGCTGGAAGCAGGGGAAAGGCTCGGAGGCTCGGCAGGAGGTTCGGCAGGAAGGACGGCAGGAGGCTCGGCAGGAGGCTCGGAAGGGGGAGGGGGTTGGGGGGCGCGTGGGGGGTGTCGTTTAGGGGGTCTGTGAGGGTGAGGGGGGGGTTGTGGGGGATCTGGGGGAAGGGGGGAAGCAGCTGGGGGAAGCTCAGGGGGAAGCTCAGGGGGAAGCTCAGGGGGAAGCACAGGGGGAAGGGCGGCTGGGGATGGCGCTGGGGCAAGGGCAGGGGAAGGAGCAGGGGAGATGGCGGTGGGGAAATCAGGGGAAGGGGCGGGGGCGGGGGCGAGAGGGGGAGAGGGGGAAGGGGAACCTATAGGGGGGAAAGAGGGGGAAAGCTCGGGGGCAAGGGCAGGGGAAGCAGCAGGGGAGGGGGAAAGAAGTGAGGGGGGATCAGCAGCAGGGGGAAGGGAAGGGTTGGAAATTGTTTGAGGAGGAGGCGGGGGAGGATGAGAGGTGGAGGTACCAGGAATGAGGGAGATGGGAGGGGTACGAGAGGATGGGGGAGGAGGGAAGCGAGAGGAGGGAGGGGAGGAGGGAGAGGAGGGGGGAGGGGAGTCGGCAGTAGGAGTGAGGGTGCCTAGGTCTGGGGGAGGGGGAGAGGGAGGGGGGACGAAAGGGGGATCAGGGGGGGAGGCTGGGGAGAGAACAGGGGGAGATGTTGGGGGGAGAGCAGGGGGAGCCGTCACTGCTTGCCACTGCTGCTGCCGTCACTGCTTGCCACTGCTGCTGCCGTCACTGCTTGCCACTGCTGCTGCCGTCACTGCTTGCCACTGCTGCTGCCGTCACTGCTTGCCACTGCTGCTGCCGTCACTGCTTGCCACTGCTGCTGCCGTCACTGCTTGCCACTGCTGCTGCCGTCACTGCTTGCCACTGCTGCTGCCGTCATTGCTTGCCACTGCTGCTGCCGTCACTGCTTGCCACTGCTGCTGCCGTCACTGCTTGCCACTGCTGCTGCCGTCACTGCTTGCCACTGCTGCTGCCGTCACTGCTTGCCACTGCTGCTGCCGTCACTGCTTGCCACTGCTGCTGCCGTCACTGCTTGCCACTGCTGCTGCCGTCACTGCTTGCCACTGCTGCTGCCGTCACTGCTTGCCACTGCTGCTGCCGTCACTGCTTGCCACTGCTGCTGCCGTCACTGCTTGCCACTGCTGCTGCCGTCACTGCTTGCCACTGCTGCTGCCGTCACTGCTTGCCACTGCTGCTGCCGTCACTGCTTGCCACTGCTGCTGCCGTCATTGCTTGCCACTGCTGCTGCCGTCACTGCTTGCCACTGCTGCTGCCGTCACTGCTTGCCACTGCTGCTGCCGTCACTGCTTGCCACTGCTGCTGCCGTCACTGCTTGCCACTGCTGCTGCCGTCACTGCTTGCCACTGCTGCTGCCGTCACTGCTTGCTGCTGCTGCCCTGCTGTTGCTGCCGATGTCGATGCTTGCGCTGCTGCCGCTCGCTGATTTGCAACCCCCTCGCCCTCTCCCTACTTATCCAGTCCTCTGCCTCGTTCCTTTCCGCAGGTCGCGTGGGTATTCTGGGAAGGAACCTGCCTGGGACTTTCACGCAGCCTGGCTGCTGCAATGGTCCCCGCTGGGTCAACACACCCAGCACCACAAGGGCTGCAGAAGCACCAGTAGAAGAAACAGCAGCAGCAGCAGGAACAGCAGGGAAAAGCAGCAACAGCAGCCTAAGGGGTTTTTTTTTCACAATGCTTTGTCTCCAGTATTTTTGCACAATGTACAGTAAACTGATACAAGAGGATGTTATGCGAAGAATCGAAACACATTTGATCTACATCTTGATGGTTGGGATCGCATGAGTGGTTCAGAAGCACCAGACAAGCACAACCACCAGAGCTGTACAGTCATCACTACCGTTTCCTGATGCTCAAGGCATCCTTGTTTGCAGTAGAAAACGGCAGGGGAAGGACATGGACGGCACACCTTAGTCAGACTACACCACTCATCATCACTCACGGATGCTCAGCACCACCAATGACCGCACACAACGGCCCAGCACTGCTCATTGCCACTCTGAACCGCTCGGAGCCACACACAGGCAGTCGGCACCACTTCCAACTATTCATCACCGCTCTCCCCGCTAACTGGCGCTCAGCACCACCAATGACCGCACACAACGGCCCAAGACCTCTCACTACCACTCTGAACCGCTTGGCAACACCTGGCACCAGTTAGAGCCACTCACTACCACTCGGCAGCACTCCCAACCGCTCGTCAAAGCTCCGCGCCGCTCGTGGGCGCTCAGCACCACCAACGACCGCACAGGTCGGCCCAGCACCGGTCACTATCACTGTGAACCTCTCGGCAGCAGCCCCAACTACCCAGAGCCACTCATAACCGCTCTTCACCGCTCGTCACCACTCACGGGCGCTCAGCACCACCAACGACAGCACTGGATGGCTGAGCACCGCTCACTACCACGGCACCACTCGCTACCGCTCACAAGCACTCGTAACCACTCGTCATCGGTGTCACCACTGACAGGCGCTCAGCACCACCAACGACTGCACTGGATAGCTCAGCACCGCTCACTTCCACTCTGAAACTCTCAGCAGCACTCGGCACCGCTCAGAGCTACACGTAACCGCTCTTCACCGCTCGCCACCACTCACAGGCGCTCAGCACCACCAGCGACTGCACAGGACGGCTCAGCACCGCTCACTACCACTATGAAACTCTCCGCAGCACTCGGCACCGCTCAGAGCCTCTCATAACCGCTCGTCACTGCTCCCCACCACTCACAGGCGCTCAACACCACCAACGACCGCACAGGACGGCTCAGCACCGCTCACTACCACTATGAAACTCTCCGCAGCACTCGGCACCGCTCAGAGCCACTCATAACCGCTCGCCACCACTCGTCACCACTCACGGATGCTCAGCACCACCAACAACCGCACAGGAAGGCTCGGCACCGCTCACTACCACTCTGAACCTCTCGGCAGCGCTCGGCACCGCTCACAGCCACTCATAACCGCTCGTCACCGCTCGTCACCACTCACGGGCACTTAGCACCACCAACGACCACACAGAACGGCTCAGCACCACCACTGACCTCACACAACGGCACAACACCGCTCTGAACCGCTCCCCAGCACCTCCGAACCACTGAGAGCCGCTCATCACCAGCAGCATCATAAGAAGACGAGGCACCAGTGAAAGTCATGAGGTGAAGCGATGGGGCCAAGTCAAGCCAATGGGCATTGGGACTGAGAAGCGGCATTGGGCAACCAATGTCATGGACATCATGCCTCATGCCTCATGCTTCATCCCTCATCCCTCATGCCTCATCCCTCATGCCTCATCCCTCATGCCTCATCCCTCATGTCTCATGCCTCATGTCTCATGCCTCATGCCTCATGCCTCATGCCTCATGCCTCATGTCTCATGCCTCATAGCTCATGGACCATGATGCCCAACCATGCAAATGCGTTTGAACACTGTGAGACGGCAACTGGGAAATGGGCAGGCAGATGGTGTTAGGCTTGGCGACGGTGTGTGTCCGAATCATGTACAGGGCAATGCTATGCTAAGTCATACCCTTACTCAAATGTCAGGGTGACATTAAGAAAGGCACAGGGTGAAAGATATAAGCAGTAGTGACCCACACATCATGGTTCATGGCTGAACACATTGCCCACTGACTCACGAGTCATTTCACATGCATCGTGGTGCGCTGTACGGTAACGATCTGCCATGATGCACTAGGGGGGGTTGTGGTGGTACCCTTCCTACAAAAAAGGGGCGCGGGGCGTGGGGCGTAGGGTGTGGGGAGTGAGGAGTGGGGTCGGCGTGAGTGGCCAGGTTTGGTTGACGCCAGAGAGGGTGGCAGAGGTGGTGAGGCAGGCGAGAAGGGAGAGGTGCACGAAGCCACCGAGAGAGGCCGGAGCGAGTGGCGAGCGAGCGATGTCTGACTGTCTGCACTATGGATACCAGATGAATGCTTAGAAGGATTGAGGATAGCGTGGGAGTAATGAGAGCAGCAGTAGGGGCCAGGTGGAGAGCGAGTGAGATTGGTGAAGAGACGATGGCCTGCCACTGACCTGCCACGGACCTGCTACTGATTTGCCACTGACCCACTACTTCTGAGTATCAAGCATCAAGTAGCACAACCCACTACTTGTGAGTATCAAGCATCAAGTAGCACAGCCCACTACTTCTGAGTATCAAGCATCAAGTAGCACAACCCACTACTTGTGAGTATCAAGCATCAAGTAGCACAACCCACTACTTCTGAGTATCAAGCATCAAGTAGCACAACCCATTATTCTGAGTATCAAGCATCAAGTAGCACAACCCACTACTTCTAAGTATCAAGCATCAAGTAGCACAACCCACTACTTCTGAGTATCAAGCATCACTGCCCTTCTCCCTTCGCTCCTCCACTACTCGCCTTTTGAGAAGAACACCACGAGGGGCCACCCAGCAGCCTCGCCCAGCTTCGCCTGCAGCCTCTCACACACCTCCGCCACGTCAGCAACCCACAGGTTGCCCCCATTCGCTGCAGCATTTCCCATGAACAGTGCGCCCATGCCATAAAGAGAAGGTGGGTGCGCTTAGGGGTGCAAATGGGTGTGGGAAAGAAAGCAGGAGCGAAGCAGAGCTGGAGAGGTCAGGGATGAGGGGAGGGGAGGGAAGAAGGAGTTTGGGAAGGGTGGGAACGGGGTAGTTGGCCAGGGTGGGAGGGAAGCGAGAGTTGCAGAGTGTTCTGGATGATCCTAAAAGAAACCCTTGGAGCTCAAAAGCATCCTCAATAACCTGCAATTCCAATTCCAAGGATGCTACCGACACGCACCCTCCTTTCCTTTCACCAACCCTCCTTCGTTGCACTCCCCTTCCCCTTTTTCACCGCCTGGAGTGACTCTCACACTCACCCCCACCCCACAGCGACCCCTCACCAACTCTCACACACATACCCACCCCTCACCGACCCTCACACACCAACGTTTACCGAACCTCACCGTGGTGATATACAGCCTGTTTGTCAACAGCCCCCTTCCCATCGTAGTAACGCCTGACGCGCTCTTACATGCCTCCGCAAGCCCCATCAGCAGCCCCCCCTTCACCAGTCCCTTGCCCTCACACCGCCCTCTCCCTGTCACCGCCCCCTAATGCCGCCGACGCTGCTTGCGCTGCTCGGAAGTTTCCCCCATTGCAAGAAACATGCCTGCTATATTGGTGCGACTTTTGAGAATTCTCAAAAGTCGCACCAATTCTGCTGAAGCTGCTTCTGTCTGACTGTTTGCTGCTGTTGCTTCTGCTCGGGCTGTTTGGCTGTTGCTTCTGTTCGGACCGTCACTGCTTGCCACTTGTTCGGACCGTCACTGCTTGCCACTTGTTCGGACCGTCACTGCTTGCCACTTGTTCGGACCGTCACTGCTTGCTACTGCTGCTGCCGTCACTGCTTGCTACTGCTGCTGCCGTCACTGCTTGCCACTGCTGCTGCCGTCACTGCTTGCCACTGCTGCTGCCGTCACTGCTTGCCACTGCTGCTGCCGTCACTGCTTGCCACTGCTGCTGCCGTCACTGCTTGCCACTGCTGCTGCCGTCACTGCTTGCCACTGCTGCTGCCGTCACTGCTTGCCACTGCTGCTGCCGTCACTGCTTGCCACTGCTGCTGCCGTCACTGCTTGCCACTGCTGCTGCCGTCACTGCTTGCCACTGCTGCTGCCGTCACTGCTTGCCACTGCTGCTGCCGTCACTGCTTGCCACTGCTGCTGCCGTCACTGCTTGCCACTGCTGCTGCCGTCACTGCTTGCCACTGCTGCTGCCGTCACTGCTTGCCACTGCTGCTGCCGTCACTGCTTGCCACTGCTGCTGCCGTCATTGCTTGCCACTGCTGCTGCCGTCACTGCTTGCCACTGCTGCTGCCATCACTGCTTGCCACTGCTGCTGCCGTCACTGCTTGCCACTGCTGCTGCCGTCACTGCTTGCCACTGCTGCTGCCGTCACTGCTTGCCACTGCTGCTGCCGTCACTGCTTGCTGCTGCTGCCCTGCTGTTGCTGCCGATGTCGATGCTTGCGCTGCTGCCGCTCGCTGATTTGCAACCCCCTCGCCCTCTCCCTACTTATCCAGTCCTCTGCCTCGTTCCTTTCCGCAGGTCGCGTGGGTATTCTGGGAAGGAACCTGCCTGGGACTTTCACGCAGCCTGGCTGCTGCAATGGTCCCCGCTGGGTCAACACACCCAGCACCACAAGGGCTGCAGAAGCACCAGTAGAAGAAACAGCAGCAGCAGCAGGAACAGCAGGGAAAAGCAGCAACAGCAGCCTAAGGGGTTTTTTTTTCACAATGCTTTGTCTCCAGTATTTTTGCACAATGTACAGTAAACTGATACAAGAGGATGTTATGCGAAGAATCGAAACACGTTTGATCTACATCTTGATGGTTGGGATCGCATGAGTGGTTCAGAAGCACCAGACAAGCACAACCACCAGAGCTGTACAGTCATCACTACCGTTTCCTGATGCTCAAGGCATCCTTGTTTGCAGTAGAAAACGGCAGGGGAAGGACATGGACGGCACACCTTAGTCAGACTACACCACTCATCATCACTCACGGATGCTCAGCACCACCAATGACCGCACACAACGGCCCAGCACTGCTCATTGCCACTCTGAACCGCTCGGAGCCACACACAGGCAGTCGGCACCACTTCCAACTATTCATCACCGCTCTCCCCGCTAACTGGCGCTCAGCACCACCAATGACCGCACACAACGGCCCAAGACCTCTCACTACCACTCTGAACCGCTTGGCAACACCTGGCACCAGTTAGAGCCACTCACTACCACTCGGCAGCACTCCCAACCGCTCGTCAAAGCTCCGCGCCGCTCGTGGGCGCTCAGCACCACCAACGACCGCACAGGTCGGCCCAGCACCGGTCACTATCACTGTGAACCTCTCGGCAGCAGCCCCAACTACCCAGAGCCACTCATAACCGCTCTTCACCGCTCGTCACCACTCACGGGCGCTCAGCACCACCAACGACAGCACTGGATGGCTGAGCACCGCTCACTACCACGGCACCACTCGCTACCGCTCACAAGCACTCGTAACCACTCGTCATCGGTGTCACCACTGACAGGCGCTCAGCACCACCAACGACTGCACTGGATAGCTCAGCACCGCTCACTTCCACTCTGAAACTCTCAGCAGCACTCGGCACCGCTCAGAGCTACACGTAACCGCTCTTCACCGCTCGCCACCACTCACAGGCGCTCAGCACCACCAGCGACTGCACAGGACGGCTCAGCACCGCTCACTACCACTATGAAACTCTCCGCAGCACTCGGCACCGCTCAGAGCCTCTCATAACCGCTCGTCACTGCTCCCCACCACTCACAGGCGCTCAACACCACCAACGACCGCACAGGACGGCTCAGCACCGCTCACTACCACTATGAAACTCTCCGCAGCACTCGGCACCGCTCAGAGCCACTCATAACCGCTCGCCACCACTCGTCACCACTCACGGATGCTCAGCACCACCAACAACCGCACAGGAAGGCTCGGCACCGCTCACTACCACTCTGAACCTCTCGGCAGCGCTCGGCACCGCTCACAGCCACTCATAACCGCTCGTCACCGCTCGTCACCACTCACGGGCACTTAGCACCACCAACGACCACACAGAACGGCTCAGCACCACCACTGACCTCACACAACGGCACAACACCGCTCTGAACTGCTCCCCAGCACCTCCGAACCACTGAGAGCCGCTCATCACCACTCAGCACCGCTCTTCACAACTCATCACCGCTCGTCACCGCGCGTCACCACTCACGGATGCTCAGCGCCACCAATGACCGAACACAACAGCTCAGCACCTCTCACTGCTGCTCTGAACCGCTCTGCAGCACTCGGCACCGCTCAGAGCCGCTCATCACCACTCGGCACCTCTCAGAGCCGATCATCACCACTCGTCACCACTCGTCACCACTCACGGGCGCTCAGCACCACCAATGACCGCACACAACAGCCCAACACCACTCACTGCCACTCTGATTCGCTCATAGCCACTCACAGCCACTCGTCACCGCTCCCAACCACTCATCACCGCTCATCACCGCTCGTCACCGCTCACGGGCGCTCAGCACCACCAACGATTGCAGACAACAGCATAGCACCGCTCACTACCACTCTGAACCGCTTGGCAACACATGGCACCGCTCAAAGCCACTCGTTACCACTCGGCATCGCTCCAAACCACTCTTCACCACTCC